ATGGAGGTAAAAGTCATCTTTGGCGGGGGAGAGACCGGGGATACAGCCGCCGAACGTAAGAAATTTGAGCGCAGCCTTTATGTTGCCACCATAGCTGCTCCACCCACGAAGAAAGGCCGCATGGAGCCAATTACGTTCGGGGTGGCTGACCTGCCCAACTCACCAAGTCCGCACAGGGACGAGCTAGTGGTGAGTATGTGTATAGACGATGCCTTGATCTGCCGAGTTCTGGTGGACACGGGAAGTAGTGTGAACGTGCTGTATTTACACACGTTGGAGAAGATGAAGCTGAAGAAAGATCAGCTGACCAAGCTAAAGACACCGTTGGCTAGCTTCACCGACAATGTAATAGAGGCTGAAGGCACCATCCAGCTTCTGGTGGAAATTGGTGATGAAACACACCGGGCAGCAGTCCGGATGACGTTTGTGGTGGTGGACATTGCATGTGCCCACAACGCCATATTGGGCCGTCCAGGGCTAGAAGATTTGGAGGCAATTGCTTCTGTTCGACACTCATACATCAAGTTCCCAACTGACACTGGTGTGGGAGTGGCCCGAACAGATCCTACCATAGCCCGAACGTGCTACAGGGAGGCCTTGAAACAGATGACTGCCCGGGGACAGCGGATAAACAGCATTGAGGTGCAGACCCGGCGCACATAGTTTGAAGGGCGCCCCGAACCAGCCACCCTCCTGGAATACATCGAGCTTGATTCCCCTTCTGATCGAAAAATTGCGATAGGGGTGGACCTTGAAGGGGAAATCAGGGAAGGGGTGGTCGCTGTCCTACAAAAATTCCAGGTCCTGTTTGCCCGGGGACCCGAAGACATGCCGGGGATTGACCCGGCCCTCATATGCCACAAGTTAGCCGTTCGGTTTGATGTCAGGCCAGTCCAACAAAAGAAAAGATACCAGGCAGCCGAACGGCGGGAATTTACAAAGCAGGAGGTAGCCACCTTACTGAGAATCAGGCACATTAGACCCGTCATCCATGTCGAATGGCTGGCTAATGTGGTCCTTGCTCCAAAAGGATCTACTTGGAGAATGTGTGTGGACTACTCCGATCTGAATAAAGCATGCCCCATGGACCCCTATCATGTTCCACGGATAGACCTGCTGGTAGATGAGACAGCCGGATGTGAACTGCTGAGCTTTATGGATGCATTCCGAGGTTATCACCAAGTCTTCATGCACCCGGATGATGCAGAAAAAACTGCTTTCTTCACCTCGGACGGCGTGTTCTGCTACATTGTCATGCCGTTCGGGTTGAAAAATGTTATGGCCACCTTCCAGAGAATGATCGGCATGCTCTTCAAAGACGTGCTGGGAGTGACCATGGAAGCATATGTGGATGACATCCTGATCAAAAGCAGAAGGAAGGAGGATCATGTCCGGGATATGGAAAGAGTCTTCGGGATCATGCAGAAGGCCAACATGAGACTGAACCCCAAAAAATGCGCCTTCGCGGTCCGGGGGGGCAAATTTTTGGGTTATATGATGAGCGAGCGAGGAATTGAGACTAATCCTGAAAAGGTAAAGGCAATCATGGACATGGAGGCACCACGGAACTTGAAAGAAGTTCAGAAGCTGACCGGAAGATTAGCAGCACTGAGCAGGTTTATGGCTAAACTGGCTGATCGTGCCATTCCATTCTTCCAGATAATGAAGAAGGCCAACCCGTTCGAGTGGACAATAGAATGTCAGGCAGCATTTGAAGAATTTAAGTTGTATTTATCTTCCCCCCTGGTCTTGACTAAAGCTGACCCAGGGGAACATCTGTATATGTATCTGGCCGTAGCTGATCTGGCGGTCAGCTCGGTCTTGTTGAAAGAAGATGAGGGTGTTCAGCGCCCTATTTACTTTGTGAGCAAAGCCCTGAACGGACCAGAAACCAGGTACACCTTGATGGAAAAGACCATCTTAGCATTGATTGCTACCATCAAGCGGCTAGCACCTTACTTTCAGGCACATCCAGTCACTATCTACACTACCCAGCCCCTGGCCACCATGCTAAGAAATCCTATGGCAAGTGGGCGTATCACCAAGTGGTCCTTCCTGATCGGGCAATATGAAATAGACTTCAAGCCCCGCCCCACTATCAAAGGCCAGGCTTTGGCCGACTTCATTGCTGAATGCACTGCCAGATCAACTGAAGAAGGAACGGACGAGGGAGTGCATGACCACTGATGGGAAATGTATGTGGATGGAGCATCTAGTAGCAAAGGTTGTGGTGGAGGTGCTGTGATCACATGCCCCGAAGGGTTCAAGGCATACTATTCTATATAGTTTGAATTCAAGGTAACCAATAATGAGGCCGAGTATGAAGCCCTTATTGCAGGATTGAAGTATGCCAAGGCCCTAGGGGCCAGCAGATTGAAAGTACGTTCAGATAGTCAACTGGTGGTAAGCCAGATTAATGGATCAGCCGAAGTCAGGGAAGAACGGCTAAAAGCTTACAAGGAACTGGTCGAGGAACAGATTGGCGAATTCGAACAGGTGGTGCTTGACCAGGTTCCCAGAATTGAAAACAGCGAGGCGAATATCCTGTCCAAGCTAGAATGTGCCGTTCGGGATGATCACGCCCCAGGCATTCCTGCACATATCCAGAGGTTCGCATAAAGAGAGATACTGACCACACCGGCAACAATAATCCTTCAAGTAGATGCCATATCCTATGCTGTCCCAAGCTGGGTCACTGACTTGACAAATTACTTAAAGGATGGGACTTTGACGAACGATAAAAATGACGTATACAACCTCACTTGTATACAACGAAGGGCCCCAATGTTCGAGCTGGTGGACGGACAATTGTACAAGAAGACGTTCGGGGGGCCATATCTGAAATGCCTTCCCCCCGTTCAGGCAGCTGCTGTGATGGAAGAGATTCATGAAGGCATCTGCTCCAGCCATCAGGGACCAAAGACCCTGGCCAGAAAAATCATTTTGCAGGGGTACTATTGGCCAACTATTCAGCAGGACTGTTTCGAGCACACGAGGAAGTGCAGGATATGTCAGCTTTACGCACCGGTTCCTGGGCGGCCTGCAACTTTTTACACCCCGATGACCATATCATTACCATTCGCTAGGTGGGGGATCGACTTGCTAGGGCCCCTACCTACTGCGTCCGGAGGAAGGAAGTACATCATCGTGGGGATTGATTACTTCACCAAATGGGTGGAAGCCGAGCCCCTGGCCAGCATTACGGATTTTCAATGTCAACGTTTTGTTTGGAAAAATATTATATGCAGGTTCGGACTCCCCGAGCAGGTCATCACGGATAATGGACGGCAGTTCGTGAGCAAGAACTTCGAAGACTTCCTCACCAAGTGGGGAATTAAGCATTCAAGGGCCTCCGTAGCATATCCACAGGCGAACGGGCAGGTGGAGAATATGAACAGGACTATCATGGATGGCATGAAGAAGAAACTCGAAGATTATGCTTCAACCTGGCCCGAACAGCTGAATTATGTCTTGTGGACATACAGGACAACGCCCCGAACAGCGACTGGGGAGACACCGTTCGCCCTTGCATACGGTTTTCAGGCTAAGGTCCCGACTGAAGTCTTGGTGCCCACTCACAGAACGATCCACTATGATCCATAACGAAATGAGGACAGTCTGCGTGTTGAGCTCCACTTCATAGAAGAAAGAAGGGACCTCTCAGCTTTACGAATGGAAGAATATCACCAAGCGACAAAGAGATATGTCGATAAGCAGGCTAAGATCCGTTCGATTGAAGTTGGAGACCTTGTCCTAAGGAAAAGAGAAAAAAACAAGCCGCTAGAGGGCGGGAAAATGTCGAAGAGTTGGGAAGGACCCTACCGGGTCTAGAAAAAATACTGGATTGGAACCTTTTTCCTCCAGGATACCGAAGGCCGTCTGGCGGGAATATGAAACGCTACGCACTTGCGGAAATTTTATCAATGAAAACGGCTGTTGCCACCTCTGAAAAAAAAAGAGGGAGAACAATGCTTCCACAAAGGCCAGAGTTGGGTGAAATCTCACAAGCCGAACGGGATCCCCACAAACTCAGCCAGAAGTCTCACCTTGATCGATAGATGTCATTCATCTCGATTCATGGGGAGCCATCATCTCAGCACAAAAATAACATGAAGGTGCAGGTCAACCAAGCCCGAACTCAGCTTGGGAGATGGTGTAAAAGATCTTGAGTAGGACAAACCGGGCGGAATCCGAAAACGTAGGGTGACCGAGCGGGGGATCGGGACTCTGGTCTTAAAATCTCGCCTTGGCTATAGCTCGCACGAACCACGACGAAGTGATTTGTTATGGTGGAACCCGAGCTGTAACCTGGAGGCGAGTCTCCATTTTGGCAGAGGATAGGGAGGTGACCCGAATTGGGAGCCTTATTCTCAATGGTCCAGGATGGACATCTCAACCTCCTAATATGGATGACCCCGGACGGTAAAGCCGGACGGCATGCATCGGAATTATGGGTTTGGAAGATGGCAGACGTTGCACAAATTGTGGAACTGTCTTGCAACATGGAAAAACATGGATGATAACCCGAACAGGTTACATCAGCCTTGGACCTACGAGGCAGCAGGCAGCAAGAGGTTATGCCTTGCGGATCAGGATAAACATGGATGATAACCCGAGCAGGTTACATCAGCCTTGGACCTACGAGGCAGCAGGCAGCAAGAGGTTATGCCTTGCGGATCAGGATAAACATGGATGATAACCCGAGCAGGTTACATCAGCCTTTGGCCTACAAGGCAGCAGGCAGCAAGAACTAATGTCTTGCGGATCGGGAAACTACGGACAGCTGGCGAAAATAAGCCGAACAGCCTGCACTTCGACCTTAGTGCTAACTTATATCGGAAATTGTCGGGTATCAGACGTAAGAACCGGACGGCATACATTGAGATTAAGGATTTGGAACATGGCAGGCATTACACGAATTATGGGAATGCCTTAGGGACAACTCAAGATGATAACCCGAACGGGTTACGTCAGACTTGCACCTTAATTTTGGTGCTGGAGATAGACCGAACGACTTGCACCTTAATCATGGTGCTGACTTGTGAAAAAAAAACTAAGTGTTCGGGAAGCCGATTATTCAGAAATATGTAATCTTTATTCTTCGGCACTACTGGCCGGGAATAATACAAGAATACAAAAAAAAATGGACTACAATGGAAATAACTAAGCCAAGGGAGGATCCTTGTTCGGCGTGGCATCAGATTTGGAATTTGAAGGATCGGCCGAATCTTTGGCCTTTTGCCTCTTCTCCATTACTCGCTGATAAGCGCGGCAGAATAACGGATCAAAACCTTCTTCCTTGGGGTCAAAGGGCTCATCAAAAGACTCCTTGATCACCTCCAGATTTCGATCGACCAGCATATCCTGGCACTTAACAAGAGTGTCTTTTGCTAGAGCATTGGCAAAGGCAGTCCCGGACGGGGTTTCATCCAGAAGCTTGAGGCCATCATGCAACGGATCCTTGCTCTTCTCTAAAAATTCGCCCAGATGCTTGCCTAGGAACTCCCGAGCAGTATTTTCTGGGGCAATATTCAGGCCTTTCCCCCTTTGAAAATCAATCACTGCCTTCTTGGTGATCTTGGAGGCATCGGCGTTAGAGGGGGCAGGAGGATTCTCCCCTTTGGCCTTTTCAATCTTAAGGCCAGCAGCTTCGGCGGCCTTCACCTTGGCACGTAGATCGCGGATTTCCCGATCACGTCGTTGGAGCCTCTGCTCCAATTCAGCCAGCTCCTCCCTGGCCTTGTCACCCTTGTTGGCCCGATCTTGGAGATCTGCAGCCATTTTCCTCGCAGCAGCCAAAAGGGTTTGGCTCTCATCCAGCTCCTGATGAAGGAGAGTCATCTCCCGTTCAGCAGCTAGGAAGGCCCGGTGGTAATATGTACCGGCCTGTGGAAAAAAAGAAACAACAGTAAGAACAAGTCCAAAAAATATTAAAACATAAGAAGAATGGCCTAAACAGTCAAGGGCATACCTTAAGGGTCTCAGCGTGGCCTGCTTCAACCAGATCGGACCAATGAGTCAGGTTGGTGAAACCCTCACCAGCCTTCAGAGAAGTATTGCACCACATGGATGATGCAGTTTGCCCGAACAGTGTCCGGCATTCAGCTCGGGGACCCATGGCTGAAAACTCCACCGTCAACTGATCGGGGATCGGGAAATTATCAGGAGCAGAACCTCCCCTGTTGCCAAGCAGCCTGGGAGGGGAGGGGACCGCATGCATCCTTTCCACCGAAGGGTCCGTCAGATCAATGACCTGATCAATCGGGACCAATTCACCACCGCTCTCGGTCCTTGGCCGCTTGTTTACTGGCCCAGATTCCCGGCCGGAGAAAGAACCTGGCTGAATAACCTTCTCCTTTCCCTTATTAACTATTTCAGTGGGAGAGGGAGTAGGGGCGGGACGCTTCGGGGGAGTGGAGGGAATCACACCTGCAGAAAAAAGAGGAATAAAGAAAGATAAGCAAAGAATTGACAGATACACCGAACACCCTAAGTTAAAAAGAATCGTACCGATGCCAACAGCTAGCATTTTAGCAGGAGTCAGGAAAGATCGAAGGTTCTTGGGACCGGCCAGACGAAACCGTTCATACTGACAGAGGATGGCCGCATCCACCTTGGGGGAGACATCCTGAGCGGGGTAAGTATTCCACCGGTCAAGGAATGGCAACGGTGACCCCACATGAACGAATAAAAATCGTTCCTCCCATTTCTCCGGGGGGGGGGGGGGGGTAGGGTTGTCGGTGAAGAGCGAACGGCCAGGACGGGCAACAAGCCGCAGGTACCCGGTGGTCCAGTAAGGCTGAACGCCGTAGCAATGCAGGAAAAGATCAACGTTCGGGGCAATCCCCAGATCATGGCACTGAACGATGAATCCGTTCAGGATTCTGTAGGTACTAGGCACGAACTGTGCCGGTAGGACTGATAACCGGCGGAGGAATTCCACAACGAACGAGTGTAGGGGAAACCGGAGACCAGCGATCAGTGCGTCCATATGGACCAGCCCACATCTCGGACGATGTCGCATGGGATGCTTAATAAACCCCGCATAGAACTGACGGGGGTGGCGGTAATAATTGGCGGAGCGTCTGTTCGGCATCCGCGGGAAGGCGTTGACGCTGCTTCCTGATACAATGAAAGTTCAGACTATAGCGGGGGGGGGGGGGGGGGGGCGTTCAGGCATACCCCTTTCATAAACGGCCAGGTCATCACCCGAATGACATCCATCATCGGGGAGGGGCTGTTCGGGATGAGGTGTCCCAGAGGACCCATTGGAACCCGATGATCGGGTAGATGTTCCTTGATCCTTGGGGTGAGCCTTTCCCCTGGAGCGACGAATCAAAGTAGGCACCATTTCTTCGGAGTCTGAAGAACCAGAAAAGGCAGACATAAAATAACGGAAAGGATTCTAGAGAGATAAAGCTTGAAGGGATTGAGAAGCAGCAGAAAATATGAAAGGAAGCAGCTGCGTCCTTATATAGGGAAATGCTACCGCCAAAAGTCCAAATCATTGATAAACACGTGTCAAGACGATTGAGAGGAGTTAAAGCATCACCTGGGGTTGGTAAACACCCGAACGGAGTTGAAATTAACAAACTTGTTCGCAAACTTGAGGTAAAAGAGCTACGAACAGTCGTCTCGAACAGAACAAAAGATACCAACGTGCGCATAAGTCATGCCCCGAATGCCGAACAGGGAATCTTAATTTCAACAAGGTTAAAAAGCTCAATGCGGGGAATAAGTTGCAGCATCCCCGAACAGGAATAAAATACCCCAGAAAAATAGTTACAGTTGGGGTGGTGAGCATACCCGAACAGTATGGTTATCTAACATGTACAATCTGATAGATACAGCGAGGGAAGCATTACTACGTCCCGAATGCTGAACGCAACTACCAACATTTCAAAAGGAAGGCCTGTGAACATAATTACTAAGAAAGTTACAAAGGTTTACAACTCGAACGGGTTGGGAAGATATTAGAATTGTGGTTGTATGCCGAACGGGTTGAAGGACATCATTTTGGCATCATCCCGATCAGATAAAAAAGTCAACATACAACGGTGAAATCGTGGAGCCCTAAACATTGGGCTTAATGGACATCCTCTCGATCAGGCAACCCGATCGCTATAAAAGGATAAGAAGTAAAGCTATAAGAAGTAAATGATGAAGTCAAAATGAACAGGCAAAAGTTGTGTATTCATCGGTTCTACTGACCGGGAATTACAAGAAATAGTTAATAATAGGAAATGGAAATAGAAATGCAAAGGAAATATCTAGTCTACTGATCGGGGTTGTCCTCCTCCTCCTCATCATCTTCCTCTTCATCAACGGCCTGGACAATCTCCATCCCCAAGGCTCGCCGGCATTTTTTGATTTGGGCGGATAAGGCGTTCAGATGATGGGGGTGCAGACCAGGGAAATCGGATGGCTGCGCCGGACGAACTAATTGCTTCTCTAGAAGGGGGAGGAGCGGCTTAAGCATGTGCTGGCACCCGGAGCTGTATACCTCCCGGGCAAATACTTCAGCCCATTCCTTGGTCACCAGATGCTGATCAAACACCCTGACCCCCTCCTTTTGCCGCTCTTCACCGGTCAGCTTTACCAAATGCTCCCCGAAGACATCAGGAAGCTGTTCAAGGGCATACGCCCGGAACTCAGCCGAAGTCTTGAAGTTTTCCCGGACGGTGGAAAGATCGACAGTTATTTCAGGAGGACCGTCCGGGATCTGAGAAGCAGACTCTGAGAACTTCACTTGGGCGGATTCGGCCGCCGCCAGATAAGCCTGGAGAGAAGCTACCCTCACACGGAGCTCCCCGAGCTCGCTCTCCAGTTTTGCCCGAATCTCGGCAGCTACCTGCCGATCAGTCTCAGCGACCCGAACAGCTGAGGAAAGGGAGTGTTCGGCTTCCTCCTTCGCCACTATGAGCCCTCTTTCTTTGGCCAGCCGGGCCTCACGGAGCTTCAAACTGTATATCCCCATCTATGCACAAATCAAAAGTACTTAAGGCAAAGGCGTGATCAGAAAAGAAAAAAAATAATAGTAGGAAAAAACGGGATAAGACATTACCTTAAGGGCGGACAGGGCTATACATTCCTCTGCTTCCTCCACCGGAAGCTCGGGAAGAGTAAAATCATTCAGATCCACAGAAGTGGACCAGATCCGAGTTGCCGGACAACCCGCCCGCTCCAACATGTCGTGGGCGGGATCCTTGAGGGAGATCCTCTGAAGCTGTCTGGCCAGGTCAGACTGATGAGCGGCCATTTCCTCAGCAGAGAAGAAATGCGGTTGCTGATCAGAGAAAAATTGGTCCATTAGTATGTCAGCATGGGACGGCTGCTGAGGGGAAACCTGCTGGACAGGCTCGATCTCCTGAGCTGGTTCAGGCTGCTCGGTAGATTGAGGAACAGCCTGGGAGGAAGTTGACTGATCGGCTTTTCTCAACCTCTTCCTCTTAGTTTTCCTTTTTTCCTGAACAGGGGGGGAGACCTGTGGCTCATCATCAAATCCTACGGTAAACAGCCTGCTGTCATCCATAGCTTCTGGCTGATCGGGAGTTGCTCCTTCAGGGTCTGAAGTTTTGCCTTGATTGAGAGCTGAAAATAAACAAAGGGAATATTAGTACCAAGCGGTCCGCACATGGATAAACAAAATGTTTTTCACACGGGAAGGACCGCCCGGGCCATGGTACTTGGTTTTCAGTCAAGTAAGTCCAGGAATTCGGGCAGTACCTATCCCGGCCTTGATAAGCCGTTCGGGAGTTAGGTAGGACATAATCTTGAATCAGCCACCAGCCTCCACAACAATGATGTCCTTACTAAGATCTTCGGAGATGAAGGGTTCGAGGGACTTGGGAGGAAAGACATTCCACTTTCTTGGAATTAGGCCGTTCGGGACAGAGACAAAGAATAATCTATCCTTCCAACCCTTGATGGAGGAAGGAGCTTCACGGAACAAGATATGCCCCGTTCTGGCACTCACTACCAAAAACCCATGGGACTGTTGAGGGATGACCGAGAAAAAATAGTGAAACAGATCAAGAGAGGGGGTCACCTTGGCACCCGCACAACGACAGATGACACCGGCCATAGCTCGGTAAGAGTTCAGCATGATTTGGGCCGGTAGTATGCCATAGAAATTGAAAAAAGAGATGAAAAAGGGGTGAAGTGGGAATCTAAGGCCAGCCTTAAGGGAATCGAAATGGACCACAACCATCCCAGGGAAGTGGCGCATTGGGTGGAGGCCCGCTTGAAGGCGGAAATCCACAGAATCGGGAATCGACATTTGAATTTGGGCCCTATTTTGGGCCGTAAGTTTCTGACGCCTAAACCTGATGAGTACTAGGTCAAGTTTATGACAGGAGACGCCGTTTGGAGGACCAGCTTCCATAGCCTCCAGCTCGTCCCCAGAATGGGTACCATCGGAGTAAGCCCGGGAAGGAGAAGCATCATCGTCAGGGACCTCTGCAGGAATGACGGCAATATCTGGTACAACATTATTCTCTGGAGAACCGGCGTTTGAAGCAGAAGGTTCGGAAGAATGAAGACGGGAAGCCATACTGACCGAACGACGAAATTAAAGGAGAGAATAGTCCAGAAGGTACCTGAACAAGAGCTACAATTGGAATCTAGAGAGAAGGCAGAGCAACAAGCCGAGGAATGCGAAGTTTCGAAACCCTGAATCAAAGTTGGAGAAGTCTATTTATACTCTGTCACACCGAATCAACGGCCAATCAGAGAAAGACACGTCTCCATTAATAATGACAGGGACACGTGTCATGCAGAGAGTCTTTCTCGAGTAATAATGACGGTTATCGGGGAAGCAAAACGGCAGCCGCATATAACCGTCAGAATATGCCTCGGGAACCGGCAGAATACCATCCGATATTCACCCGAACAACATTCGGACAAAAATCTTCTACTTCCTTATGCACTCGCTACCGTTCGCGACATAGGAAGTGGGGGACTAGTGTTGGGATATTGGGTCCAGGCCCAATATCCCTTAACCCAAATCCGGAAATGTAACGCCCCTCTCAGGGTAAAAGGAATCGTTACACTAGCATACTACTTTAAAAAAATAAACTGTAATATAACGACCGTTTGTTTAAGAAATAACCCTGATAAAGTCTCCAATATACCTAAGATGTAACTCCAAATAAAACTCATTAAAATTCTAGTTATCACTAGCAAATGTGACAACCACCTGGATCCAGGAAATTATTCAAACTTCAAACCATAAATAAAAAAAAAAAAATAATAATAAACTCCTTAGAACAATATCTAAAATAATGAGACATAATAATAGCTAGCTGGAAGCCGCCAAGGTCGTCCCCGTCAACTCATCTTGGCACGCGTTCCACTCTCTCATCACCTTCCTAGGCCTTGGCCTTACCTTTAGTAACTGTACATGCGAAGAAAGAAACTGATAAGCTTTACGCTTAGTAAGTCACTATGGATCCACAAAAATATCTAGAAGTCTATGCCAATTTATCAATAGATAAAATTTAGGCTATAAGCATGCACTGAACAAACAACTAACACATAACTTCTCAATTACATTCTGAGAGAGATCTCAAAAGGAAATATTTTCTAAAATAATTTCTCAAAACTGCGGGAGAGATCTCAGAATTTCTTTCTAAAAAACATCTCTGTAAACTTTCTGAAAGAGATCTCAAAAACAACTTTCTGTAAAACTTTCTGAAAGAGATCTCATAAACTTTCTGTAAACTCTTTGTGGCTAATTTTAACTGTGGGCCCGTGATATGTACTCAATGGCGCCAATCCGACAGCTCAGGGGAGCGACCCACTAAACATATCGGACTATCTAAAACTAAAACTGCTAATCTGAGGGATCTAGTTCCCGAGTACATATCACTTGATCTTTCACTTTAAGTATTAGTTCTTTTTATGGTGACATTTGACTAAAAAAACATCATTCAATCTGGAAACTAAAATACTAACAAATCTTGACTATGCCAGATAATAAACATAACTTAATCCAGCAAATAAAATAACTCCTCACATAATTCACATAGTTCACATAATAGCAAATAGTCTAAAATTATCTATTAAAAATCAACCAGACTTCTTTCTTGCATTTGGTTGAACAAACATGTAAAGGTGGTAGTGAACTTACCTGTTAGGAGCTGAAATCAAAATATTCAAATAAGTGTGGCACCTTGATAACGTCTTTCCGGTAAGCTCTTCTCTTAAATCTTTAATTAAATATGTAATGATAAAATAAGAACCGGGTTGTGACTATACTGGAATATACCAATCTAAAATAAATTATTCACACTATCTTTGAATACGGAATACTGGCAAAAAAATCAAAAGTTAAAGTGAAGCATGTAATCAACTTTATTAATTATAATACAATTAAAATCCCGTAAAGTTTAAACCAGGACTCTGTGACTAAACTTTATGTTCATGCTGAAATCGGATCTCTTTATAACAATCCTGTTGCGTTCTAGAGATCAGGATAGGTGAAAGAATTTAATAAGTGAAAACCATAATCCGCAATGTGAATGGTATACTGAAAACAATAACTAAAGCCATTTTTATTTATTTATTGAATTCTGCCATTTTGAAACTAAATAGAGATGCAGCAGCTTACTCCAACTTGACCAAACAAAACTTACGATATAAATTCATCTTATGATTTGGATAAAATTGGTCCACTAACCCTTGAATAAACGAATTGAATTGAATGTTTGGAAGCATTCCTTATAATCCAATACAAGAAATACCCCATTACAATTGCCATAAACACACGGTTGAAACTAAACTTACTAAACTTACCAGACAAGAGTTTTGCTACAAGGCTGAGGTGAGTTGATGAACTTCAGCAGCCTAGATGGGAAACACTTTGGGAGGAGGAAAATACGAACTACCAGGGTAGAGGCCATGGAGCGATGACAGACTTGTATCGGCTCTTAGGATAGAAAGAGGTGTGGGTTCTCTAGGGATTTACGGAGTAGTTTATAAGAGACTTATTTGGGCTGAACTTGATTTGGGCTCCTAATACTCTAAAAAAAAATATGCTTTTGCCCGAGCTTAAAATAATAGTAATATTCTCTCTTTCAAGATAAATTGATTAAAACTTTAGAACAATATTTATTTATTTATTTGAAATTCTTGGAGCTTATCGGTCAACGTTATCTGCCATAAACAAAATGATAACACAATAATCACATTATTCACAAAAGAAACATATTTAACTGATTAAATGAAACAAAAGATTAATGTCACTGGATTGCTAAAATCGGGGTGTTACAGGAAAGAAGTAGCAGGCCCAAAGCAGCCCAAGATTCCCGATCAGCATTCGGGGCGAATCTTCTACTTGGAGCATCTCAGGAAACAATCACGCCAAAGCACCAAATAGCTGGTTCCTGAACGGGGTTCGGGATACTCCTCATAAACAAGATAACATCTATGGCAGGGTCCCACTCACCGAACACCATACCCGAACGGGCAGTCAGCAAGTGGAAGCCGCATTTAATGCTGGATCATGGCGGCTGCAAGTGGGGGCATGAGTGCTTACATGGCAGAGGTGACAGCCTACCAGATTCGGCCACGTGTCCACCTTACCCATCCCCATTTTAGTATAAATACCCATGTTTAGATCATTGTAAGGTGGTTAGCATTTCAATACTCAGAGCTTAGCAATAGATTTACATCCCTTATTCTTGTATTCTCATACTCAACTACCGTTCGGGTAATCTCAGTGTAATTGCATAATTACTAAATACAAGTAAGCTCCTGAGTTGGATAATATCTCACTATTTTATATTTTGTACACCTTCTAAACCAACCCAATATCCCTACAATATCCAAAGCTTGTGTTGGGCTTTCGGATCTTCGGGAACAAACCTCAACAATACTTAAGGTAGAGATTCAGTTTCCTCAGGTTAGAAGTGGTACCGGCAAAAGTCCCGGGGTGGCCGTACATAACAACGGACCCATCCGGCTCAATAAAATGTTGAGCACCGCCCTTCAAATGTATTAGGAGTACAAATTATATTTGGATTGATGTTTTGAGGATTTGAGGAGAATTATATTTGAATGGATTGGATTTGAGTTGTTGGATTATTGGATTGATGAATTTGAGTTGGATTGAATTATCAAATTATTTGTGGAATTTCAAAGTACAAATACTTTTGGATTTAATTCGGTTTGATTATGCTAAAATTGATTTTGAGTATTTAGAAGTATTTTGAGAATAATTTTGGTACTTTATGTATATTTGGTATTTTGTAATTATTGTGGTTTAGAAATATTTACTTATATTTGAAGTACTATTATTTTACTAGTGAATTATGTTGTGAAAAGATTTTATAAATTATTTTAAAAAGATTTTTCATCGTAAATGTTTTTTTTTAAATATTAAATTATTTTATTTTATGGGTTAGGTGGAACTTACTTAGCATTGTTGCTAATTTTTGCTTTCTTTTATTTTTCTTTCTGTACTTGATTTTGTACAGGTAATGCTTTGTTGATGATGTTGATTTCGAGAGAGAGAGAGCTTCCGCTAGAGAAAATGTAATTAGCGGATAACATCGTAGTTTAATTTAATTTTCAAAACACTTATTGAGTTTAATTGTTTATGTGGTGATTAGCCTGTGCACTCGGTTAGGTTAGAGCCGAGTGTGGCGGTAACGCCCCTATTTCCTTTTGATTTTCCGCTGCATAACTCTGGTGTTTTCAAATAAAGTCAATATTTCTTTTGAATAAAGTATTGTTTTGGGTGGGAAATTTGGGGGTGTTACAAGTTAAGGGAGCTCATCCGCTAAGAACTCCAAAGTTAAGCGTGCTTGCACGGGAGTAGTCTTGGGATGGGTGACCCCTTGGGAAGTTTCTCAGGGCGCGCATGAGTGAGGACAAAGTGCGTGGTAAAGGCTTGTAGTGGTCTGGAGGGTGTGTTGGAGTAACTACCTCGGGGCCTGCGGGGTCGGGGTGTTACAGATGGTATCAGAGCAACCCTGCGACAGTGTGCTGATCCATTGGAT